TACTTCTAGGGCAAGGGGAGGGACTTCTAGTAGCAAAGATGGTGACCAGGGAGAGAGAGCTCCCCAAAGCTCGTTAAGTAGCCCTCCAGCCGAAATAATTGCCCCTGATCTAGAGGTCATCTAAAACAGGCAGAGATCATTTAACAGAAAGAAACCTTATGTGACATAGGAAAGTAGGAAGGGAGCACTAGAAGGGACTGCCCAAAGTCATGTAGTGTCCAGGCCCCTGCTCAAAGCAGGATCATCCCTGTCTAAACCATCCCAGCCAAGTGTCTGTCTAACCTGCTTTTGAAAACTTTCGAGGATGGAGATTCCACAACTTCTCTAGGTAGCCTGTTCCCGTGCTTGATCACCCTCAGTTACATAATCATAGTAACAATGGGGTCGGCAAACCCCAGTGTGCTGGTTACTGTACGTAAAGTGAGAAACAGTTGGTATCCCATGGAACTTTCAGCTGTAGTATGGAAGCAGATTTCCTAGTTCCACAAAGGCTTGCATATTGCTGACCTTGTTTTCCAGCAGAGGGAATCATTGCAGGAAATCAGCACTCCCAATACCTGCTACCACAACAAAGGCAAAAAAACCCCACTGTCCATCCCAATCTGACCAAGAGGAAAAATTATTTCCTGACCCAAAATTAAGTGACCAGTAGGATTTAAAGAGAAGAGCAAGACTCGACATCCACCAACCTCTGTGTTTCTAGTACCACCTGGAACATCAGCATATCTCAGTCAAAACCCTCAAACCTTAGCTATGACCAATATCCTAAGTCTTGAGAGTAAGGCAAAACATACCAAACAATCCAGAAGCCCATAGCATTCACGGGGAGCAGGGAGAAACATCCCTGTTCTCAAATGGTGACCAGCAAAGCCCCAAAACATGGAATTTTCAAAATGTAGTTCCCAAGATAGGTTATAAATGGTATCTTTGTAATGTGGAAGATAGTTTCATGACTACATTACATGCACTGTTTGTTGAGTCAGAATTCCAAGTTATATTATACTGTCCCCTTCTGTAAACTTACCTAGTTCAGGCTTAGAGATGCAGGTTTCCTGCCCTCACCATTGTGCTATGAAACACTTCCAGAAGTTCTCTCTTCTAGTTATGCCATTTTCCAGGAACTGTTAGATTCCAACCAGTGGCAAGGGGTTTTGAAATCCTTTTTCTTAAACCTGTGTGTTATATTCCTGTTTTGAACATCTGGGACTCAGGAACTTGCTTCCTGGCATAGCTAGGATGGCAGCATGCATTTGACTGCAATGCACGATGTGGTAGAATCTACTTCATTGACATCCATGTGTCTTGTGCAGGTGCAGGAGCTAAGGGAAAGAACTCAGGAGCAACAGTAAGAAAGAATATGTTCTTTGCCAGCCAAGAACTCTACTTCCACCCCAGGCCAGCTCCTGAAGAAGCTACAGACTACTTTGGGCATCTGTTATCCTAGGAAGAGCTGACAGTAACACTCCTGTTAAAGCTGCCCAACTAGCACCTTTCAGTATAAAAGCTTGGGCTTTCAGGTATGTAGGACATGACACAAACTTAACCACCAGGGCTAACGTTTTCATTGCTCAGGTTCCACGCCCTAACTGACATCTTTCTTTTAATAACAATTTCAGCAGAAAAAAGTTTAGGTTAGGGGAAAAATAGGCACCTTTGCTACTGTTAATAGGCCCTTCTTATAGCTTCTCTAAAGCAGAGATTTGCAACTTGCCAAAGAGTTAGTCCTACACTAAAATGTGCCTTTTGTTGTAACATTTAAAGCCAAGCCATGGGCTCAAGTACATGAAAATTGTTTACAATGCTCAGCAGAACATGGTGGAGGCTTCCTGGTAATCTCAGAATAGTGTGATAACCACACCACCAGCCCCTTGAGCTAAACTTCCAGATGGAAGACACACAGCCAGCATGCTGCTTTGACCTAGGTAAAAAGTACTGGGCTGACATGGCCTTAATTATTATGGACAGAATCCCATTTGACTTTACTACCTAAGGCTATGAGCAGACATTGCTTTGTTGTACTACAATGTGCCCCGGCAAGAGCCGGAAGTCCTGTGGCACCACTTTGGCTACCAAACTGCTGGGTTTTGCCAGGGCTCAGCCAGTGGTAGTGGGAACTCAGGCTCTCACACAGCCGTGACTGCCAGAGCCCCTGGTGCTCTAGCCATCCTGGTGGCAGTAGCAAGACCCTGCATGATTCCCTGAGAGGTTGCTGGGACAGACAGTCAGTAGGTCCTGGTTTAAATCACAGACCCAGTTCCCTAATATCGTGGCCCAATCATGGTGGGGGCCACCATTTTGTGACAAGATCATGGCACCCACTCACCCCCCCCGCTGTTTGGCTGAGGGGGCAGGTTTAGGGCCAGGCTTAATTGCATCAGCAGAGGCCTTGCTCCCAAGGCCTGTAATCACTGCTGAAAAGCCCATGCCCCCTCCCCATCTTTCTTCCACTTCACTGGAAGAGGCAGGAACAGCAGTAAAACTGTTAGGGGTGGGGCTGGATAGGGGAGCAACTGTTTGCTTCTCTGGGTAGGAAAATTGGGACATGGGGGGTTGGGGGCACCTGGAGGCTGCCTTGGCAGATAGCCCTGGCACCGGGTAGTGGAGGGTGTGTTTCCTCTTCCACATGTGTATTATCTCCCCCAAGCCCCAGCACCCCCGTTTTTCTGCCTGGAGGAGCAAACAGCCACCCCCTCACCCCCCGCATGCCAGGGCCATCTGTCAAAGGAGCCCACAAATCCCCATGCCCCATTTTTCCCACCCAGAGGAGCATAGATTCCTTCCCCTACCCAAACTCTCTCTTCCCCCTCTCCCTTTTGCAACCCCCTTCCTGTGTCCCCTGGGCTGCTAGGCTTTTGCTGCTGGCTGGGGAATGCTTTCCCCAGCTTGAAGCAGCCATCTTGTTGCAACAAAATGCCATAATATGGCTGCTTGCTGGGGAAGCCCCCAGCAAGTGGCCATAATCGTGGCATTTTGTTGCAAATCACAGTTTTCTTGAAAATCACTTAATTTTGACATTTTCCCCAAACATACAAAGTTGCAACTAAAACCAGGCCCTAACAATCAGCAAACCAGCCGCCATCCTTCCCTCCTCCTCAGAAGGGAGCAGGGAAGGGAACAGAGAGCAGAGGAACATTGGGGGCTAGGGGTCCAAGGCAAGCCACTGCAGCACTGCATGTAACTAAATGGACATAATTTATGGAACATTCCACCATAACATTTCCTCTTTGAAAAGGGAACATTTTTATGACCGATCCGCTATTTTTATTGCTCTGCAAGTGGCATGTGCATCTGTGCACTGACATTTTAGCACAACAAAGTAGCAGTGCTACAAATGTAATGTCTGCCAATGAAATGGCAGATATGCAACTGGATATATGCTATTTCTGGCACTTACACACAGTCTGTGATCTTGTTGTGATCCTGTATGCTGCCTGAGCAGGTATGCATCTCTATACATGTGTACGTGAGCATAAGTCCTGAAATCATAGCCCAACATAACCAGGGGAAGGCCCTCCCATGTTTTTACTCAATAGTTTAGTAGTTAGGGCACTCACTCAGATAGCAGGAGTCCCAGGGTTATAAGTTTCCATCACCCAGGGAAGGCTTGAAAAATCTCTTTCCAAATTCCCAGCGTAGTGCTCTAACCACCACATACAGATTAAACATGTTCTGGTCCCTTCTCCAGAACTCTTGAAGCTGAGCCCCTGTACCTTGCGTATACTATTCATCGGATAAAGTGGCAAGAGAACAGGGTAGTGGGGGAGCAAGGGTCCAAGGGAGAACACAGGACCTGTTCCCTTCCAGGTAGCAGCCAGCTCACTGAATTGCATACCCTCTAGTTTATTCTTTTACTAATCCCACATATTTCCTGCTTGGCTGCCAAGACAGCTAGTTTCAAAAGGTGGGCAAGAGAAGGGACTAAATAATGCCTAACCTGTGGCCTAGTGGTCATGAGTTTTTGCCTGACTATAATTAAAAGACTTATGCTCACCAACTACATTCCCTAAACTGGAATAGGATCCTAGGTTTGCCAATTCTTAACACTTTCCATACTGCTTCCCAAATAGCTGTATAATCCACTGTCACTATGGCCTTCCCCAGTCACGTGTGTGTATGCAGGACAGGTGCATCAACACGCTACCATTAGGTTAAGAAGGAGACATGCAAACAGTAGGTTTAAACAGTGGCTGGTTCAAGCCCTGGTACTCATCTGTTTGACAGAGGCTGTCAGTATGGCTCAGCATTATTGAATTTGATCCACCACAGCTCAGAAATAGGATTTTTCCAGCATAGCTTTGCATAGTAAAGTTGCAAAGTCAGGCACTCAAGTTGACAAGTGCCAGTATGAAGCCAGTAACCTTAAGATTTATGAAGCTTTAAATGGGCTGGGCCCTACACACAAGCGTGAGCGAAGAGCAAACCACTGTAAGTGCCCAGTCTGTTCATTGAGAACAACCTCCCAGTTGTTCTCAGCAGTCACTTCTCAGCTTTGGAATTCTCTCTCCCTTGAGGCCCAAAGGTGGACCCTGGGCTGCCTGTACACATGCTCATTTGCATTCTAATTAGAATGCCTTGGCATAGCCTTGATTAGTTGAGTCTCCTCTGCGGTCTAATTACAATGCTCTAGCGTCACCGCTCTGTCACGGGTATTAAGCTCCTACACATTTTAAAATAGCTATGAGGGGGCTTTATCTAAACTTCATCGAATGAGCTTTAGATAAATTATCCTGCAGCCGTTTTAAAACGTACAGGGACTTAATATATGTAACGGTGAGCCATTTTAATTAGAGCAGCTGTTTGGGAATATGTATATGCCACCTTGAACATCTTCCAGAAATTATGTCAAGGCTTTTTATTTGGGCAGGTTTTTAGCAGGCCAAGTTAAGTTCTAGGTATTGTTTTGAACAGTTTGTTTTATTGGTTATTGTATTTTAATATTTTTTTAGAACATTTCTGGTTTTTATTGTAAGCTTCCCCAAGCCTCTTTGTGGAAGGGCAGCATATAAGTCAAATGAATACGATCACACGCTACTCTGATTACATGATCATACACTACTTCCTTCCTCATTCTGTGTCCAGGCTGCCAAAAGAAGCAGAGGGCTGTGGAAACTAAACGGCTGTAGCACTTCAAAAGGCCTTGTACATCTACAGTATATTACAGGCATGCAACTAGTCTGTGTGCTACAAACACAGGACATGTCTGAAATGGAAACTTCTCTGTAGCACTGCTGTTTGTAGGGCCACATGTAATTGCTTTTTAGTAGAGGTGTGTGAAACGGACTGTATTCAATTTGGATTCACCGAATCGAGAACAGTAATTTGATTTGTTGATTTGGAGCACTGTCCCTGATTTGATTTGACCAAATCCAAATCTGAAGGTTCAATGCTGATTCAGAGAATCAGTGATTCAGGCATAGACATGGCTTTAAATGTTTTTTCTACATACCTCGAGGTACCGGCGCAGCTTGTGAACACTGCAATGCTGGGGTGGATGGAGCGTCCCACAGGAGCATGGGGGGGCCCCCTGCATGCTCAGCAGTGAACCCGGAAATGGATCAGAAGTATTTCTGGTCCACTTCTGGGCCTTCCAGGGAGTGCACTAGGGCCCCCACCCTGCACCCCCTGGCTCAGCAATCAGCCATGGGGATACCCCGGTTGCCCCCCAGACACAGAAGGCACCAGTCCCCGAGCTGAGGGGGCATGGGGGGGCCACCCTGCGTGCTCCCCAGCAGACCCAGAAGTAGGCCGGAAGTACTTCTGTTTCACTTCTGGGTCTGCTGCCGAGCACGCTAGGGAGCCCCCTGCACTCCTGCAGGATGCTTCATCCACCCCACCATCACAGCACTCACGAGCCACCTGCTACCTTGACATATGTAGAAAAAACATTTAAAGCTATGTCTGTGTCCGAATCACCAAATCTTTCTGAATATCCCCAAATCGATTCAGAGGGTTCCGATTCGATTTGGAGAAATTAAAGGTTCTCCTGATTCGATTCAGATTCAGCCACCAAATCAGGACAAATCTCTGCTGAATCGAATCAGGAACCAAAGCTTCACACAGCTCTACCTTTTAGTTACACATGGCACTACAGAGGTTTCCAACACACCCAACATTCCAGTCTCCCTTTTCCCTCCCACTGGGTAGAGCGCAGAAACTCAGCCTCTGGCACCATTGCAAGAGCCCCGAGAAGAGCCAGCAGTAGGAGAGTAGAGGGACCAAGGAGAGAAGTTTTTGCCACTCGCACAGGTGTTGGGGGGCTCTCTTTGACAGCTGCTGTTTCTCAGCAGCTGCCAGCTAACATTAAGAGCCTGCCCCTTCCCCAATAGAGGACAGGTCAGACTCAGTGTTTGTGCTCCCCAGGGGTGTTTGGGTGGAACTAAGGGACACTCTCCTGTTACCGCTGGCTGGAGAGTTTGCTTGTAAGGTGACTTTTGGGCCCCCCAGGAAGCTGGGACACCTCTACCTCCCCATAGCATTACAAATGAACAGCTGTCCATAGCCTAACACCATCACAGGGCAGTCGAGTATGTTCCTGTCTAGTTTCTTTTTTCCCCCATGTGTTTTATACATTTTTATGGAAAACAAAACATAATAAAAAGTGACAGTCCTAGAACACATGTACAACAATCAGGTATTTCATAAAGCTTTGATTTAGTAATTTTGCACTGATTTGTTTTAACATTGCCTTCTACTGTCTTTAATCCCCATTTCGTCGTATATAATGCTTGTATTTTGTCAGCTGTACAATTGCATGTTAAAAATGCTTATGTCAGTGCTTTGAACGCATGCTAATTTTTTTATGGTGTTCTCTAGTTTGTGTGTTACAAGTCATTTATCTCATTGGTAGTAGGCGTATAAGGGAGAAACTTGACTTTATAATCTAAAAAAATAAACTTCTGCTTCTTCCCTCTCCCGCTCCCAGTAGTGAAACAGAGGCTCCCTACTTCCCTGTGCAGTTGAGGTACATCCAGCTCAAACCTGGGTGAATCAATTTCTTTTTGAATGATTCAAAGTCATGCTTTGCTGCTATCCTGATTGACTTTGCATTCTCTCCAAATATAATAAAAGGCTAATAATGTAGATTGGGGTGCTCAACCTCTGTCCCACGAGCCAAATGCATCTCACAGAGCCATAGGTATCTGAGCCGCAGGGCTCCCCACAGATCAGGAAATTTGATGGCGGGGAAGCTTGGCAATAAATACAGCCACCTTCCCCTGCTGCCAAATTCCCAAATTCTGAGCCCTGCACAACAGGTTGGGGCCAGGTCACACACCCTCTCTCCACCCCCATGCAGCTGGATGCGGTTGGGTCATACCCCCTTTCATCCATGGAGCCAGGTTGGGGCCAGCTCAAGCCCCATTTCCCCCACCCCTGCAGGGCTGAGTCAAACCCCTTCTTCCTGTGGGGCCAGGTAGGGGCTGGGCCATGCTCCTTGCCACTGTCCACACAGCTGGATGGGGCCCTGCCGTGACTGCCCCATGCAGAATCAGAACCGTCTGCCAGATCCAGCCCACAGCTGTCCTGCACATTGCCCATCTGGTCTGCTGGCCAAAAAGGTTGAACACCAGTGACTTAGATTGTGTTTCTTGTTGAGCATTATTATGCTCAATAGTAAGAGAGGCTTGAGTATGGTATTGTTTTCAACAAACAGATTTAGGGCCCAGGTTGTAAAGGTATTTAGACACCTAAAATGCAGAAAAATACACTGATTGAAAAATCTGGGTGTCTAAGGCCCTTACATTTCTTTCAAGCTATCTTTAGATTTTTAGTTCAAATAGTTGAAGCTTACCTTCTAGCCCTGGGGGTTGTGCCAATTTTATCCCCAAACTGCTCAGTTTTGTAAAACTGGAATTAGGAAGCAGGGATGGAAAGGACCTCCAGAAGTCATTTACTCCAGTTCCCTGCCTGAGACAGGATCATCCCTAAGCAAACCATCCTATATAAACCCATTGTCTAACAAACTGTGCAATCAACTTTGACACAGTCACAAGCTAGAACACCTTAGTCTGCCACAAGTAAAGCAGGGGGATCACAGCAATCAGTATCCTGCTGCTGCAAAGGTTGTTAAAATATGCTTTAGAGATTCAAGGAAAAGGGCCATGCTCCACACTACAGAAGGCAGCAACCCCCTCTGAGAGCTATTTCTGTTTATTTAGCTAATGACTGGTAATGACAAATGCACAAAACTATCCATCATATCACCTGGTAACTAAGGTGCTTATGAGAAAATAAGGTTTTGATCCCCATTAGCCTGGACTAAAGGTCTTCTACATTTGGGAACTTTGCTCTGAAGGGATTCAAATGATCTCTTCAGTGCCCTAGCCATAAAGTTTTATCCTAGGCTGGGTCGGGGGGTGAAGAAGAGATTACATTACTCCGTTCTTCTTGAAGTTGTGTCAGTATGCAAAAAGGAAAATGTTCGCAGGTACTGGCTTGCTCATGTAGTTCAGTTTCTTGGGCAGTCTCCTGGGAGAACAGGACACTGGGCTAAATGGACTGTTGGTTTTACCCAGTATAGTACTTCTTATGTTTTTACAGGGGGACAAAGAAAAGCCATTGTCTCTCTCTCTCTTTCTTTACTTTCCATCAGATGATAGTTATGCTGCTGTAAATATGCTTCTGCTACTTTGTTATCCAATCCCCACCCTTATTAAAAAGGAAAAAAAAATTAATGGATTCACATCAACTTAAAAAATATAAAAGAAAAATCAAATTTGAACCTGCTATATTTTAAACACATAATAGCTGTAAATGCTCACTCTGTCTATTGCTTACCAGGGAAAGCTCCATAGGCTTCTTTCATACATATCTGATGTTCTTTGTATAACCAAAGTTGTGGCTCCAGTATTTTATCTCTGTTGGTTGATAGGTAGGTAGACAGGTAGATTCTTGAGTGGAGGGGGTGTGTGTGTATGCATATAAATAAATAACATTCTTGAGTGGAAGAGTGCCATGTAGCTTGATAGTCTGTGCGTGTATGCATTTCTATATCTATCTATATATGTCTACACACACACACGTTATATAAGCAGTTGAGATGTGATAAATGATCAAAACATGGAACATCTGCATTTTGTCATAAGTCATGCCATAATTAACAGATTACAGTGATTGAATGAAAGCTCATTTTAAAAACCTATTTTTTCACTCTTGGAATGAAAGAAATTGCTTATTTTTAGGTCCTTTCCATCTTTACTACTCTGTGATATGAGTGGAAAAAACAAGTTCTATGATATGCTACTACAGAAAATTCCTCCCTTTGGGCCATCAGCAGGTTTTAAATCCGAAATTTTGACGTCCATCTCAGACTGTATTAATTGAGAGTCAGAAGTTATTATTATTATGTGTACAAACCAGCTACTTGGAAAATATGTACATGCTTCTTTGACAAAGGATTATAAGTGTATCTAGTACCTGGGTATATGAAATACTGGAGACCAGGTTTTAAGTCATCCAAGGAGGAAACATACTGGTGATAGTGGAGGATAAAGAACATCTATTGACTCCTACATTAAGATTTCATCAGCTAATATACAATCAGTTAATCATTCATACAATATCTACGGACAGCAATATTGGTACAGTGGTGCACATTACCAAGCCTTCACTGGAGAGTTCAGTAGGGGTTGGTTTATTCTTCAGGGTGTTGGTCTCTTTTCTATAGCTGGGCTTCTCCAAAAAGTTAACTCATACCCCTTTCTTTACAAAGGATGGGAAAAGGATTGGTTTCCCTAGTACAAGTTCTTCTCCCCCCTTAAAGGGAAAGAGGTTGTTGCAGGTTATAGGGCCTTGATTTCTATCAATTCCCTGTATTGGGGACCCTCTAGGGACAAGTCCCTTTTATTCAGCTCTCTGGTAAACCTCCTTATATTTGCTCAACATTTAATCAACAATCCTTATGGGGGAGCAACCCTGGCAGGCAGCTTCCTGTGCGGGAATGCATCTAGACCAGAAGTGTCAAACTTACTGGGGACTGCATGGCTTCTTGCCAGCTGGAACCAAACCATGGAGCTTCTGGCTGTAGCTTCTGGCATTGCTATGTCAGAACCACTGGCCAAGGAGTTGATTTTGCTGCCATTCAGCCGCCAGAGCTGTGACTGCCTGAGCCTTAGTGTGATGGCCATCAGCCAGTGGGTGAATGCTTTAGTCACGAGCAGTGACCAGAAACCAAAAACTAAATTATAGGATATCATTCACCCCCTGGGTGCTGGCTACATTTATGCAGCAGCTCCAGCAGCCAGTGACAGAACTGAAGGCGCAGGCAGAAGAGGAGCTCCCCACTGTAACTCAATGCTTTGCAGAAAGCGTTCCGAGTTAGAGCAATCCCCTAGAACAAACTGAAGCTCACCGTTGGTTTCAGGGGGACAGGAATCTAGCTGCTGGCTTTGAGCTTGCAGCTGGTTTCCCCTAACAATGACCCCTCCTCCCACCCAGTTGGGCGCTGTTTTCAGAATGGAAGTGGGGGAAAGGGAGCAGAGGCAGCTCATTCTTGGGGTTCCCCAGCCAGAGCTAGAGGATGGGGTGGGTGGATTGGAGCCCCTTCAGGTTGGGAGAAGAGCTCCAACCCACCCATCCCACCTTCCAGCACCAGCTGAAAATACCCCAAACCAAACTTCCTCTGCTCCCTTTCCCACTCTTCCATTCTGAAAGCAGCTCCAAGGCTGGGAAGCAGTGTAGACACAAGGTACTGAAAACCATAGGTGGAGGGAGGAAAAAAATTGGGAGTGGGGGGCTGAGCACGCACACACATGCACATACATCCCCCCACCCCCAAGGTGGGAGAGTCTGCGGGGGGAGGGGAAAGGCCCAGGGGGGAAGCGGGTACTGCAGCAGCAAGGCGCAGACACAGGGAACAGAAGCTGAGCCCAGCTGCAACCCATCCATACCCTGTGCAAAGATCGGGGGTCCACGTGCCCTGCTTTCACCCCTCAGCTTCCCAGCACCATGCTGGCTCTGGAGGAACCACTGGGCTGTGCCAGGCTCGGGACCTGCTGTGTGTTATTTTCTTGTTGTTCTTAATAAATCCTTACATTTTTCACCCATAATTTTGTTCTTTGTCTGTTTAATATACCAATAATATGCCCAGGACAGCCTCAGTCCTGATAGAATTGACAATCTTGGCATCTCTTTCACCCCTAGGATTGATCAGGGCCCAAAACCTCCACCTGTCTTCTCCGAGTGGCTCAATGCACTATGCATTCTCATGCTGCACCTAACGGATCAGGCTGCTGCTTTCGTTTTAAACACAGCCAGAATAAACAATAGTAAGAATGTTCTCCTCCGCAAAATAACTCAGTGATTACAGCATGGAGCCAGGATGTGGTAGACCCAAATTAAATACCTTCCATAGGCCACAGAACGGGGTGGGCCACCTAGGTCATGGTTCAACTTTTAGCACATTAATTTATATAATCCACAAATGAGCAATTGTCATTCCAGTTAAAACTGTATAGCTATTTTTTTACCTGCATAGCTAGCTAAATTAACATGCTAAAAGTTGATCAGGCCATGGCCTGGGTGGTCCACCTCATTCTGCAGCCTATGACTTTCTCTGCCTACAATATGCTAATCTGGGAATTGGCAGCCTACAGCCAGTGGATCCGGTCAATCTTGGTGGTGCTCTGGCAGTAGAGGGACTTGCCTGTATCACAGCCAGGTGCGGGGAAAGGTGGCAGCTGCAATCAACAGCAGCTGGGTCAGAAGCGCCAGCCCATCTCACCTGAGCTGGGTTGTTTTGGCTTGCCCCTTGCAAAACGTTGCCAACCACTGTTCTAATCCACCTCTCAAGAGACTGCTATCATCAAAGGCTACAGGCTACTCAGGTTAAATTCTAGTTATTCCATTTTTTAAATTATATTTCAATATATTTTTTCATGGAAATAATGTTATGATTTTCAAATTCAGTTTCTACAAATACCATCTCTCTTTTAGACTTTTTCTGCTCAGGACAGACTTTTTAAAAGTGCTAACACGGTATTTTGAGAGACATCTGACCACTCCATGTCAGAGAATCACAGATTACATTATAATGTATTTAAGACCACTCTTCTGAGGTGCAGCAATACTGAAGAAATTTCTAAGAGATCTGATGATGGCAAGGAGTCTTAAGTAGTAAAACACTGAAGTGCAGGCTGAAGAAGGCAGTCATTTTTATAATGTACTATGTTCATTACTTTCCTCCTGACAAATGTCAATTGTTTCTTGATCTGGATGAAGGCAGGGAAGATTTTTCATTCAGTGAATAAAGCCCCAATCTGCTAACGTAAAAAGAAAAATGTTCATTTTCCAGTGCAACTGGCAGCGTCACAAGAGTAATCTGTTACTTTTTGTTTCTAGTTGCTACTGACATCATATATCACACCCAGTTTCTACAGCAAATACATCTGAGACTCAGCATCTGCAATAACACTTAGAGCAGTCAAATGTGGTACACTGAGCCACTGCACCTGGCCTGAGGGTCTCCCACAAGGTCCAGAAATCTGGTGGTGGGGGCAGTGACCATTAATATAGCCACCCTCTCTCCTGCCAAATTCCCAACCCCCAAGCCCCATGTGCCCAGTGGGACCCAGGCCACACCCCCTTTCCCCTGTGGCTTGTTTAGAGCCAGCCCCCACCCAGGGCCAGGTTGGGGTCAGGCCATGCCCACTTTCCCCATCGGGGCCAGGCTGGGCCATGCCCTCTTTCCCCACTGTGGGGCTGCGCTAGGACCAAACCATGCCCCTGCTCAGGGTCAGGTCAAGGCTCCTCCCCTCTTCCCCCGCATAGGGCCAGGCTTGAGCCAGGCTGCTCCCTGCCTCCCTCCAGGTGGACGGATTGTGGTTGCCACACTGGCCCTTGGCACTAAATTGGAACCACCAGCCTGTGGTTAGACCAAGGCCATCTGGTCTGCCTGGGAAAAGGGTTGAGGACCACTGATGTAGGTGGTTTCCTGCTGGGCTTCAGGCCAGATGCACAGAATGTATCACAACAAATTAAGGTAATCAATAAAAGGCAAGTACACATTGTAAAGTGATTGGTTTAGTGAGAGGCCTCCAATTATGTCAGACTGGAAGAGCAAATTTCAGCAGACTTACCAGAACTTCGACAAAAACTGCAGGACAGTCATGCCTAAAACCCAAACTCTTGAACAGTCTTTTTTAATTTTGGACATTTTAAAGCAGTGAGAGAATGGCAGGAGTAAGTCAGCAGAAGCAACTAAATGGTTCAACAGACAAGATTTATAAATATCTCTTTATTCCTAACTCTTGTTTTCCATCCAGGCTTCTAAAGATCCAGCCGCCAAATATTCTCTGATACTCATGAACAGGGATCCTGGTTTTCCCTGATAAAAAAAAAAATGCAAATTCTCCGAAAGAAAAAAAAATTATGAATTCTGTGATAAAAGCCCCAAAATCCATTATTAAAATGACAGGCCCCTCAAACTTCAGGCTGCCTGGCAGCCATGTGCATATACATGCACATGGCACCTCCTGCTCCCTCCCCCACCCCATTGAAGGCTGGAACTCTCCCAGCCTGCAGAATGCTTTTTGTAAAACTGCAAAATCCACGGGTTTCTCAGGCAAAAGGAGAAATCAGCATTTTCCTCTGGTAAAGAGGGATAATCCATGGGCTTTTTGTTTTTCCATGGGAAACAGAAAACTCGGATCCTTGCTCATGAACAGTCAGTTTCCTGAAACAGCTTAATATAAACCTACTGATTAATACTTGATTCAAACCTATTTCCTTTTGGTTTCTCACTTTTATTTGACAGGATTTTATAGAATCTATTTCATGGTTCAGCCCATTTCTCCTGTGTCTTCCCCATGGCCATTGAGATCTTTCATGCAGGAAAGTAGAAGAAAAATGAATTTGGAAAATAAAATAAGAAAGAGGTTTTGTAAAAGAAAAATGTATAGACACCTACCAGCAGAACTAATATCTGAATCCCAGAGCACTTAGCACAGGGGTGGGCAAAATACGGCCCGTGGGAGGCCATTCTATCTGGCCCACGGGGCCTCCAAAAAATGTAGAAAATTAATATTTCTCTGCCCTTGGTTCCTGCCAAAAATGACAGGAACCAAGGGCAGTAGGACCCAGGGGAAGTCCAGTGGGCACCAACAACAGTGGGACCCGCCCGGCCCCGCCCTCCCAGCCGGAAGCCCCTTCCAGGGCTTCTGGCCAGGGAGCATGGGGCTGCCCGCACCAGAACCACAGGTAAGTGGCAGGGAGAAGGGTGGAGGGAACCCTGAGCAGGGAAGGAGCTTGGGGAAGCGGCCCCTTCCCCGCCCCACGGCCGGCACCCTGTGCTGCAGCTGCTTCCAGCCCGTGTGGGGCTGCCTGTGCCTGCTCCGGACAGCCCCACGGGCTGCAAGCGCCTGTAGCAGGGGGAGGGACCCCGTCTCTTATAGCGTGAGGCTCTTGTCCAAAGCTGTCTCCATTCTGAATAAAGCTGTTGTGAGCAATGTGTGCTAGTGTTTGCTCCCTGCTCTGCTCTGGCTAATGAGCAACAGGATCCCTGGGCAATTGGACCGTCGTCTTCCTAATCATTGGGCACCACACGGAGTCATGGTCAAACATCTTGGCGTAGTCAGCAGGATTTGACACACATTTGGAGGGGATTGGCCAACCTGATCCAGGGTAAGGCCTAGCAGGCGTACTGGGTTTTCTTGGGCCTGGGTCTCCTCACATGTACTAGGTTCTCTTGGGCTGGCTCAGCTATCATACCCCGTCTTTTGCCTTTCCCCAGTAGCATAGCAGTGGGTTCAGAGGCTTTGTGTGTGGGGTCAGGGTGACCTCAGTGTTTTTTTTGTGAGTTGGGTTAAACAGAACGGGGGTCCACTGCAGGGGCCCCAAGAGAGGGGAGGCATTGGGGGAGTCCCTGTTCCCCCGAGCACTACCAGGAGTGACAAGAAATAACGGTCACAAGCTGGCAGAGGGTAGATTCACACTAGACATCAGGAGGCACTACTTCACAGCCAGGGCGGCTAGGACCTGGAACCAACTTCCAAGCGAAGTAGTGCTGGCTCCTACCCTGGGGGTCTTTAAGAGAAGCTTAGACGAACACCTTGCTGGGGTCGTTTGACCCCAGTACTTTTTCCTGCCATGGCAGGGGGGTCGAACTTGATGATCTTCTCAGGTCTCTTCTGACCCTACCAACTATGAAACTATGAGAGTCCGTCTAGCCTGGCTTGGACTACGGCAGAGGGTGGGGTCGAGGGAACTTTAAGTAAAGCAACTGCCCTCCAGGCTGGAGGTGAAATCTTTAGTTTGGAGTGTTAACAGTCTGGAGGTGAAATCTTGAACATCTGAGAGAGAGAGCTTCAAAGTGAAGCCTTCTTTCTGGCTGGATGTACCTTAACCCTGATGACAGCCCTGGGCTTAGTAGATATAGAATTGTTTAATTGTCTGTATTGTTGCTTTTTTATTTTTTGCTCTGTATCAATAAATTCACCTATTATCGACTGGCAGTTGTTGTAGTCAGTCTAAAAGTTGTGCCCACACAGCAACTCCACCAGGACACAAGAGTAGTAACCTGACTAATCAGAGAATTTGTTAATGCAGAGTGATTTGTTTTAGAGGGATTAGCTGAAACTTGTAGTAAAGTAAAGTTATATAGGAAGTAACCAAAGTTATAAGTGCTGTGCAGGAGATGTTGTTTGTTACTGCTGACCAGGAGACTTTGTTTTTCCAAGTCAGGCAGAGTAGTGGACAGGAGTATAGGCTGTGGAAGTATATGCCGTAGTCCGCTTAGAATTAAGTAAGAACCTCCTGTGGTGTTTACAATAGGAAGCTAAAAAGCAAAGAAAGTCATCTCTCTGCTAAAAAGGCTGTGTGAATGAACAGGGTTCTTTAAGTCTAAAATACCTGGGAAAAAATAATTACAGCTTTCTGTGCAGAAAGAACAAAAGCAAGTATCTGTTTGCTGTGGAGTTTATAAAGTGTAAGTTACCAGTGCAGGATATAGCAAGGCAGTGTTATCCAAGCAGTATAGTTTCAAAGACAACAAAAACAGTTAGAGAAATGTAAAACAGACACTCTAGAATCCTGTGAGTAGGCTCACCGCCGTTCAATGCAAATGTGACAGGTGGGTGGGACCGGAAGTCCCGCCCCCTTAGCCCCGCCCCTTCCCCTGTATGGTGCGTGACATCACCAGCCCCCCCCACCCTAATCACATCTTGCGTGATGTCACCAGCCCTGAACCCTGACCCCAGTCACATGGTGCGTGACACCAGCAACTCCGTCCCCACCCGTCACATGGTGCACATCAGCAACTCCTCCCCCACCCCCAGTCATGTGGTGTGTAACACCACCACCACATGGTCCATGACAGCCAAAGGGCAGCCAATGCAGACCCCCAAGGCCCAACCCCTCGTGCTGCAAGAACCGCCCTAGATCACGTGGTACAGTTATGACCTATCAGGTCCCAGACTGCTTTAGCCCCCGGAGCACAGGCGTGGCCTATGGGGTGGCGGTGTGACCCCTCTAACAAACCGCCCCACCACCCCCGACCAATTGGCAGGGGTTTCAGAGGCCTCAGACCTCCCAAGAATGACGCTGAACCAAATGGAACGAGTAGAGGGGGTGGGATTTAGGCTGCAAGCCCCACCAGGTCTATCTGCTTTCCCAAACAACCCCTCTGTTTATCTGAGACCATGGTAAGGGAAGCAGGGGAGGATATGGATTCTTTCACAATGCCTGTAGGCCCACTCACTACAACCCCAAGACGGCCTCATAGAAAGCATTACTGTAGAAATAGTTTTGAGGAGGCCAGGCTCCTAGCCCAAAGACTTTGAGATGCCTGACCCTGTTTGGGAAGACCCAATGAAAAGGCAAATGGAAGAGGTGCAGGCCCCTGAATTAGACATTGAGAATTTGGAAGATGGTATCTTTGTGCCAGAGCCTGCATGTGAAGTAGAGGTCATCGCAGAGGAGAGACTGGTAAGAGACTTGGAGCATGGTTGTGGGGGCACTTAGATTTTTAAGGTAGTGGTGTGGGTTCACTTCATGGCATGTATGTGTTTGGAAGTAGCTAAGGACTGATTAAACAGCAGCTAACTAACTTGAAAATCAAAGGGATAACCCTGAATGTGGCCAACAGTGAAAAAGTTAACTTTGAAACCTTGAGAGATCTTGCTCTAGATTATGAGGCAAATCCCGCTGGGGACACCCCTAAAACAATCGTGATACAACAGCGCTCTATTGTCAGGAGCAAAAGCAAGTGGACGATAGAAACCAAAGCCTTGAGAAAACTGCAGAAAGTCGTTTATGACAAAAG